ACATTTCATCATGGATCTGCTTTGCACCTTTCCCGTGGAGAAACAGGAACTTAATTATGGCCCTGTCTTCAGGGCAGTATTACAGTTTAACCACTGCGCCATGGGGCTCCTACAGGATATTATAAAAATCCGGGGTATGGATATATTATAGAATAAAACAGCTGCTCTCCAACAACTTGCTTGTGTGCCTGTGTCTAACAGGATACTGCCTTGGAACTTTTCGAGGAGAAAGGCTGGGTAAAAATATTTTAAACAAATAAATAAATAAATACAGAAGAAAAATATATCGAATAGCCCTGTATATAGACATAGTTCCGTTTCACTCCGCTCTAGTAAGTCTGACAAAGTGGATTTATCTGCCAAGATGGTCTAGAAAGGAGTCGCCTCCTCTTGCATATGCATTATAAAACTCAAGTCTTCGGAGTGTTGCCACGGTTGTTTGTTTGTTTCTTCCATGTTTTCTTTGTCCGGAGATCCCAAAGAAATTAATCATTCTCAGGCTTTTGTTTACCAACCACCAATCATCACGCACTTTACATACACGCAACACAACCCCGTTGGTTCCCTGTTGTGGAGTCACTGTATTTTTGTCCCGGCTATCCTGCAAGCGGGACCAATAACAGGAGGGGGATCCAACCAACCAGTAAGAAATATTGAACGGATAGAGAAAATTGTGTCATCAGCGCTCTTTGAAACGACTCTCCTCATTGGTTCAAGCGCGTAGGAAGGGCGGTGGGCAAACAAACCCCCGACGGCCCAGACCAAGATGAAGCCGCCAGACCCGTTCGCGAGTTGACGCCCACTTGGCCTCTCCTTCGAGAAATGGCACTGGAACGGCGGACCAATCAGGGAGGCCGGAACCGGTGACGCAACAAGGCGTCTCCACGGGGCCGCGAGCGAGCTGCTTCCGGGCTCGTCTTCGTCTGCGTGAGAGCTGCGAAGATGGCGTCCCCGTGGTTGCCGCTGTTGGTGGTGCTGATGGGGCTCGGAGTGGCGTGGGGCTCGGCGCACTCGGGTGAGTCCGGGTCGGGAGTGAGCCCGGCGTTCGTCTTGTCGCTAGACTGTGACGGATCAATAGTAATGATGATGGTAGTGATGATGATGACGACAGCCAAAGGGGACGCCCGGGATCAAAGACCAGTTTCTTGGGAGCAGACTGGGGTTGGGGGGGGGGCTCAGTTCGCATCCATTAACTGGCACATTCAGATGCCAGGGCGGTGCTGGTGGACCCGGGATTGCCGTTGCCCGGAGACGCTCCCGAAAGCGCTGCTCTGGCTTTCCTTGCTCTCCTCTTTATTTGCAAGGCTTTCCCGAGGCATCGGGCTGGATTTGCTGATTCGTCAAGGCTCCCTTCCCATGTCTCCACTAATCACAGTATCTCTCTATTCGTAGGTCGTCTACCTCTGGAGGGCAGATGCTGGATTTAACAGGGGGAGGGCTGGACTTTTAATGGACTCCTGGGAGCTTACAGAGGCATCATAGAAGAAAAGGCATCAGCTCAATGGGCTCCTGGGTCTCTTCTAGAAAGACCTTCCTTAAAGCTGTTGTTTATACAATCCAGTTTCATAAAGGCAATTGTGACTTATGGTGACCCTTTTCAGGGTTTTCTAATTAGAGAGAATTCAGATGTTTATCTTTCCCTTCTTCTGGGGCCACCCTGGGACTGTGCATCTTGCCCAGTCCCAAGGTGGCTCTATTCATAGGAGGCACATTAGGGAATCAAACTCTCCACCTCTGGCTCTGCAGCCAGGTACCCAACTCACCAAGCCATGCAGCCAGCTGCAAAAGCTATTTTTAGCCACAGTTAATTAAGCACAGTACTGTGATCTGCTGGGAGGTAAAGCTCACTCTGTTCAATATGAACATTGTGTAGATTGAATCTTCATTTTCAGACACAGTACAACATACACCTCTGATTATTATATGTTGAGTAAACAGAATGGAGATATTTGTGGAGTTCCAGAAGTGTCTAGCTTACTGCTCTTGTAACCAAATACTGGTAAAGCATTGGTTATCTTTCTATGCAGCAAGTTTCCTGTACATGCAAAAACATAAGAAATACAAAATATCCCTCCCATGATAAATACTCTGACCATGAAGAGCTTTACAGCTGCAGTTGGTAAATGCTCATATGCACTTGTCACAGAGATTCGAATTATCATAAAACCTTAACACTAATGATTCTAGGAAGGTATCAGATTGGCATTAATACTTCATGGTGAAGACAACAAAATCTTAAGATAGGCATCCCCAAGTTTGTATGATATTTCTCAATCTGGGGTGTAACCTATGCTCATTTTATGTTATTTCAGAGAGAATTTTGTTGCGAGAAGTCCAAGTCTTGACACTTTACCCTGGCAAGTACACAAATTATCGGAGGACATCTCCAGTCCCTCAGTTGCAGTGCACTGGAGGCTCAGCCGGATGTGCAGCATACACTCTAGATGTTGTCCAGTGTTACAATAAAGGATGGGATGGATATGATGTTCAGGTATGTTTTTCTTAAAATATGCACAAGAAAACTCTTGTGTACCTTCTGAGAGCGTTCCCTAGGCAGGGTAAGTAGAACAAGGATAGGTTCTCAGAATGTGGAGCTGGGAGTGAGCTGGAATATGAAGGCAGGCACGCCTTACTTTTGCAAGACAAGAAGGATAAAAAGTCAACTGGGACAGCCAGGCTGGGGTTAATGCTTGTATTACATTCGAGTGGGAATGCCCAAGTGAACCCAGGGTCTTTTAACAGTGTCTGAAGGCTCATTGGTGTGAAAGGGTGCTTTCTGTTTGTCATCTTTTGGGCCCTGTTAGATGTATGAATAACAAAGCTGTTTGTGGGGCTTTGTAAACACCATGGTCAGAATAAAGAAAATGTATAAATACTAGTAAATATGGGTTATGCATTAACTATTTTTTCATCTTATAATGGAAGCTAGTAGAATATTTTTGTCTTTGAAAACACAAAATGTGGTGGATTTTCCATCACATTTTAGATATGTAGATAGTTAATTTAATCTTTAATTGTCTTTTTAATTCTTTTCCTTGTAATATTGTTAGCTGCCTTGAATCCCCTTATTGGGAGAAAAGCATCAGATCGATCGGTTAATAGACAGACAGACAAATTGCAATCCATAAAAATAGTACAGTGGGTTGTTTTTTTTAAAAAACAGCATTTTATTTGTGGCATATACATTGTGCTGAATTATTAGGAAAGGTGTTCTGCAGTAAGTAACACCTTACTACCAGAAGGGATTTGAGAGACAAAAGAGTGCTTCTAAAAGACACCTCTGTCCCATTTTAAGGCAAAATTATTCTTTACAAGCAGGGGAAGAGCTGCATGAATTGTATGGGATACTGCTGATTCTGAATTTTTCATATTTTCTCTGTCAAGTAATTTGGAACCTACCGTAATTGTTTGACTAAAAAAATTGTTGCTGTAAATAGAAATGTAATTTTAAAGGTATATTGTTGTAAGCCAGGTTTTAAAGACAGATCTAAGTCCAGGTTATTAAATAAAACATCACTGGAGATAAGTAAATTTACCAAAAATAATACGTAATGTTACAACCTCAGAACTTCCAAGAATGTTACAGAGCTCCACTTCTTTAAATTTGTAAATTTGTACAGATTTAACAAATGTTAGATGTTCTTATGGAAGCTAGTTTGAGAACTGACGCTTATGTTGAAGAATATAAGAATACAATATTTGATATTTTTTCTTTATTTTGTAGCTTGGTTTACTGCAAAGTTTACAAACATTGTTATCTTTTTTTTCCAGTGGGAATGTAAAGCAAATATGGATGCCTCATACAAATTTGGAAAAATTGAAGTAAGCTGTGAAGGCTATGATTACCCAGATGATCCTTACATATTAAAAGGATCGTGTGGCCTGGAGTACACATTAGAATTAACGAAGGCAGGACAGCAGAAGAGCAGCTTCTTTGGTGGGAGCTACTCTTCCCCAACTTCTCATGATTCCTTTGGATCGGGTGCTGGAGTAGTCCTGATGATATTGTTTGTAGTCTTTGTTTTTGGCGTCTACAAGCTATTCCTCTGTGATAACCGCCAGCAACATGGTTTTGCTTATGGTGATGGGGATTCTGGAACCTATCAGCAAGGTCCTCAAAGCCCACCTCCGCCGGGATTTAGATCAGATGGCCAGAATTATCAAACCCCACCTCCGCCAGGATTTAAAACAAGTTTTACAGGTAAATTTCTCACTTCTTTATGGTAACCAGGCCGGGGGGGGGGGAGGAATAAAAGCATTAAGTTATCATTTCCAAAGATGGATAGTGATCATTCTGCCAACTTGTTTTGTACAATTCCTGTGTTTTGTTGGCCCACCTCAGGTTTGTAAAAGTGGTTTACAACTTGCAGGAACATGTTGTTGCCTGCAGAATTTCAAGGGCACATCTTACAAGAGTGCCATATGCTTTTAATTTAGAAATGAAGACCAATGTTCCCTCTAAAGCAGAAGGGTAGGGGAGTGTGGGCCGCTGCTTTGTATATGAGGATGGTGCATAGACTAACAGCAGTGCACATATTGAGCCTGGACTGTCTTGTTCATTGTTCTGCACTGCTGATTGGTGGGAGATCAGCATGGGTACTTCCTAGTTGCCCTTTATAGATCAAGAATGGATAATATGAAACCATGGGCCTTCTTGCCAGGTGATCTGTTTGTGCCATTTTCATATCAATTTGTGAAAAACAGAACAATAGCCTCAGGAAATTTAGGAAGAACCTTATTGTTCCTGAAAATCCACAACTCCACTCTGGGAATTCCAGGGTCATTACAAAGGCACAAGCAAATGAGAAATCTTGTTGGTTGTACCCATCCTGCTAATATTGCAATTCTTTTAGTGAAGCAATTCTTAGCAGTGTATTAGCAAGTAACCTCTATTGGCTTCACTAGATCTTACTTTACAGTAAACATAATATGGGATCATATTTCAACTGCTTGAAACTTTAGCCTCTAGGTTTCTAGCCTGGAGACTGAATCTTTATTGGCATTGGAGTGGTGCTCTTGACTTTGTGCTGATTTGCTTCTTTAGTGCATTAGAGAATGATTCATGAGGCGATTAGTAGGCATCAAGCGATGTCTGAATTCAACACACAGATAAAGCATTAATATCTTTCATTGTCACTTTGAGCACTCTTTCAGCAGAGCTAATTCATGCTTGATCTCCAAGAAATGAGAGTAATAGATGTGCATTTGTGAACCACCTGTATTCTTATTTCTGCAATTAAATTGCTCATTAGATGTATTCAATAGGTTTGATTCAAAAGACCGTTTAGGGCCTTATAAGTGAGCATTAGAACTTTGAAGTCGATGCGGAAACGAATGGGCAGCCCGTGCAGTCTGGCCAGGGTAGGAGAAATGTGGTGGTATTTTCTCTCTCCAGTAAGGAGCCTGGCCGCTGCATTCTGCACCATCTGAAGTTTCCGTGTCAACCTCAAAGGCAGCCCCACACAGAGCGTGTTGCAGTGGTCTAATCTTGAGATTACGAGCGCGTGCACTAAAATAGTAAGCACCCCTGTGTCGAGGTAGGGCTGCAGCAGGGCAATCCGCCAAAGATCGAAAAAGGCTGTATAGAGGTATTCAATAGGTTTGATTCAAAAAGAGATATAATTGGAGAGCATGCCAATATTACAGGAGAGCTTTGGTTGCAAAGGATCTAAACTTGTATTATTTCATTTGCATTCAGGAGCTTCTAGTGGTTCCAGTTATGGTTCAAGTTCAGGGCCTGGTTTTTGGACTGGATTAGGGGCCGGAGGGCTACTGGGATACCTGGCTGGCTCCCAAAGGTAATTTGGCTTACTTTCTCTGGGCAACAGTACTTCCTGCATAAAACTAGAAGGAAAGGAGAAAAGCCTGAAATGTCTGCAGGCCAGAGGAGTTTTCTTTACTGACAATAGCACTATCTAATTTTAAGTATGTGTTACGTGTGTTTATAGTTTCTCTTCTAAACAAAAATAAGATTGATGCTAAAAGTTGAAAAATATTCGTCTTCTATCTTCTATTGCTTTTGTTCAGGATGGAGTGGAAAAGCTTCTTCCTATGAAGGAGTGTTAACCCACATAAAATGTCAATCAGGGGCTTTAGTCTGTGGTGGGCAGATCTAAAAGCAAAGATGGGCAGATTATATAGCTATTTCCTTGTCTCCCTGCCTCTGTTTCTCTGCCACACAGCGTGAAATTAGGCCAAGGATTGTAGATCCTGAATATCATAACAGTTAAGTATAGTCAACTCCTAGTCTCTTTGGGATATTATTTATAGTCCCATTCATGGAAGAGTTGAGTTACATGGCAAAGTGTAATCCAGTAGGGTGGGATGGAGATGTCCTTGATAACTGAATAGAAAGACCCATGGCTCACTGGAGAACAGACTGGCCACTAGAGAACATGCCAGTTGGTTCTTGACATAGTGTTTCTTTGATTATTTTCTTTGCCTTAGAGTTGCATAAGATTGCATCATTCAGCAGATAAACTCCTGGTGCAGTGGTAGTGTCAAGGGTATATAGGCTTTGGTTTCCAAAGATTGAAGTGTTAAAGGGGGTGGTATTTGCTTTCAGGTGTGTGCTGCAGTCACCAGAACCTGTTCTCCAGTATAATGATTTCCCAAATTTCATTTTATTTGTTTCATGTCATTCTCTGCTTTTGCAAAGTAAGGTGGGGAAGTCTTTCATAATTAAATGGAAAGAAATAGTTTTTAAAAAAATAAATGTAAAATATAAATATACAATATTTAAAGTCTGACTGTTACAGTGTTTTTCCTGTAAGTCTTGTGTACTCTTAGCTGAGGCCTCCACTATCAGTTTTGCATTCCAGCTCTGTGCATTCCCCTTGTTCTCATATGTTTTTTCCATTTTCAGTTTCAACTAACCAGCTTCTTGTCCCCTTCCCACTCTACTAAATTACAATCAGTGGCCTTTTTAGGTTAGGTCATTCTGTAAACATTACATTGCTATACACAGGAAGATACTGACATTTACCACCAATTTTTTCCTTTCTAGATCACCTTCATATCGCACATATTCACCTTACCATGATACATGGGCCGGTCCAAGTGCTTCATCTCCTGTATTTGGCACTTCAAATACCTCCAAACCATCTCATAGTTCAGGGACAAGGTCTACCTCTGGTAAGTTAGAAGCTGTGGTCACCTTGATGTTTTAAAAACTAATGTAAAGGTTGTCGTATGAGCCTCTTAACTGCAAGGATTTCCAATTCCTAGTTGGTGTAACAGAACTAAAAAATCAAATAGCCACAACAAAAAAGTGCATCTCCCCACTGTTTCTAAATCAGGTTGATGCAATACCTGCAATATCTCATGTCAGTTATCTTAGAGCAGGGCTAAGGGAATCTGTAAACTTCTAGGTATTTTTAAAGTCCAGCTAAACATCAAGCAAACTTTGTCTCCAGAAATAACTTAATTAGGAAATTGACTGGGTCAAACGGGTACGCATCTGCAAACAATAAGAATAACAGCTTTATCCCTGGTCTACTCCACAGCGGAACATGCTAGAATATGGTATACAGTGGTGCCTCGCACAACGGGTGCCTCACACAACGATGAATTCACACAACGATGCCTTTTTCTGTTAAATTTGCCGCCTCACACAGCGATGTTTCCTATGGGGGATTTTTTCACAACGATGTCTCTTTTTCGTTCCTGTAAAAGTGTCTTACAATGTTTGGAAGCTGTTTTAAATGATTGCAATGGTTAGCCCACCTCCTGAAACCTATGCAAACTGATTTTGATGTTGTTCTGACACTTCGTTAATTTATGGTAATTTTTTGTTTTTCCCCCTCATTGAAATGCATGGAGTTCAATGAGGGGGGAAAACAAAAAATTACCATTGAGTCGGCTTCAATACATTCCAATGGAGGAAACATTGTTTCACACAGCGATGTTTCCTATGGGGATTTTCACTCAGCGATGGCAATCCGTTCCAATTGGAACGGATTAACCGGTTTTCAATGCATTCCTATGGGAAATGGTGTTTCACAGAACGATGTTTCACACAACGTTGCTTTTTTTGGAACCAATTAACATCGTTGTGTGAGGCACCACTGTAATTCAGCACATGCCAAACAAGTGGATGTGGCCTTGAATGAATCCTGCAGGGTTATTACTGGCTGCTTGAAACCTACATCCTATTGGGAAGGTCTATTATTTGGCTGACATTGCCTCTCTGGAAATACAGCAAGGGGTGCTAGGAAAAGTTTTCTGCATATATCTCATGCTCTAAATGTTAAACCAGAAGAGGTTAGGCTAAACCTGTGGACAGGAAAAACAACACACTTTGCTGAATGAATGAATGCTGGAGAATGTCTTCTATCAGGACAAGATTTTGATTGGAACATCTGGAAGTCACTTAATAGATTTTGAAGCAGAGTAGTAAGAACAAAGAATAATCAGGTAAAATGGGGCTACTTAGATGTAGGACAGATTTTATGTGAATGTAGAGAAGTTCGGTCAATGCAGCATTTATGTGCATGCAATTTATGCCCTACCACATGTACAAAAGAAGATCAAGCAAATGGCTGAGATAACACTATTGAAGTGGCCCACTTCTGGTCAAAAATAGTCTATTTTAATTTGTTTGAATTTTATCTATATAAAAGTCAATAATTTTAAATTGTGCAACACTCTGATACAAATAAAGAAAGCATCAGCTGTTGTACCACTCAAGAAAGCAGATTGTCGGCTCACTGGTGATCTTATTTGGCAGTGTAGTACTACAGGAGAATGTTGAGTATAGCTATGGTGGCTGAGGCTGAAAACTGGTATCTTCAAAAATATCTGGAGGAGGAGCTATGTTAAGCCATGGTATAGCACTCTGTGCAAATCAGCTCATGATTTCAATACCTTGCTGTATCTTGATTTTGACTAGAAAAGGGCACAAACCAAAAAAATGAACCAGGAAGTTTGTCAAAAATCACTGGTTCGTTGGTTCGGGTTGGTCAAAAGTGACAAACCAAGCCAACAAACTTTTAAATGAATTTTGGTTTGTTTGCTCGTTTCCTCCCCCCCTGCCCCCGATAGCCTTCTTCTGTCAGTCAGAAGCACTAGGCAACCCTGGGAGGGACCTAGAAACTACTGAATTGGCAGGTCAAGGAACCAAACACGATGTTTCACACAACGTTGCTTTTTTTGAACCAAATGTAGCTCAAACAGCTCTGGGGGAATTGCTTGTTCTTATTTATAAGACTGATTCACAGGAGCCATTTTCACCTCAGAACCATTTTTGCTAGTCAGAAGAACCCTTCTGTCTTGGAAGCAGGTTAACTCAGATCTCCAGTGGCACGCTGTTTCCCTAGTGTAGCATTGTCCACAGGGTGTGGGGAAAGGGCGATGTCCCTCCTCAGTCTACCTCCTGATGAGCAATACCCTGTGTCAGTTTCCGTGGCATGAACCACTCCTGGAATTTTCCCCAAGCCAGCTGTTGAAGGGAACTTCCCTGAGGATACTTGCTTTGAGGGTGTATCACTTGGGCATCTGAAATCCAAACTTCACCAAACTTGGAGGGGGTGTAGAGGAGAGAGGGAGAAGCTTCAGTGTGATTTTGGTGTCTCTAGGTGGCTAGGGCTCCTGAACTTCCAAACCAAAATGAACCGATTCGTGGTTATTTTTTTTCAAAAGTCTAGGTAGTTTGTGGTTCGTGGTCTTCAAAAAATCATGAACCACAATGAATTGCCATTTTGCTACTTCGTGCCCATCTCTAATTGTGACTAATAATATAAATTTTTATTCCCCTGAACAGGTTTTGGTGGCACAAAAAGGCGATGAGGTGACCTGAATCTGTCTCAGCAAGTAAATAAAAGCAACATTCTAGCAATTCTGGACCCAGTTTTAACTCTCCTTGCTGGGTTTGCAAGAGTCTAACTTTGGATTCAGTTGTGTTTACTTATATTCCATAGGTTTAAAGAGAAGCTGTTTGGCCTAAGTGTACGGACAATAAAACGGAAAAGGCAAATGTAGAAATACGGTTTGAAATAAAGAAACATCTCACTCTTTGATTGGCCCTGCCAGGTGCAACAAGACGATAGTGGTCCCTATGCCTTTGACAGTTGTGTGGAAGAAGAGGGAGTTGTGTAACAGGCCATACCTTCTGAAATTCTTTATTCTGCACAGATGTTAACAGTCTTGTTTTCAGTTGGACTTCTGAAATGGCCAGATGCAATAGGACATTTCTCGTGAGCTAATTGGGATCCAGCACTCATCATCCTGTCCTTCTGAAAATGGAGGGGTGCATTCCTGAGAAAGTGCATAAAGGTCTGGAGTACCTTTTCCTTAGGACAGAAGACTGGAGCTCCAGGCTCCTTTCTTTGTGAGAGAAGCTTCTGCTGCACTTTGGAAAGAAGCTTACGACAGAGGTGAAGTTTCAAGGCTGACAGCTGGGGGGGAGTGACCTTTAACATAGCATGTGGACTGTTGTTTGTGTAGGAACATGTAGAGAAGTCCTGGTGTACCTGTATTCTGAAAACCTGTATAATAAGCAGCTGAAGAACAACTTCATCTTTTAAAAATACTTCCTTGAAAATACCTGTCTGTTTGCTTGCTTGCACATAATAGCAGAAACAAAGACGTTTACATCTCCAAATAATTCCGCATTACAAACTGAAGACAATAATTGGCATTCCTTTAATTTTGGCTTTAAAAAGCAACAATACAGGAACAACAGGGATGTCTTAATTTAATTGTGTGATCTTGTGCAAATATTGCTCCCAGGTAAGCATCTATAGGATTGTAGGTCCTATACACATAAAAGGTTCCAGGTTGAGTTCCTAGATAGGGCTAGGAAAGATCCTGCCTATAACCTGAGACATCTGCTGCTACTTTGGAGTTGACATTACCTGTCATAGAAGGAACAGTGGTCTGAAACAGTATAAGGTAATTTCCTAAATTCTTATTAATAGCTCTCAGCCAGTTCTATTAATAAGCCACTGTGAAAGAGAACTAGGAAAGAGAGATAAAGAGGAGAGTGAGCCATCCCCTGAAGGAGAAAGGGAGAGAGAAAGGAAAAGGAAGGATTGGTTGTAAAGGAAAATGAAGGGAAGGAATTGAAGGAGAAAGAAGTAAAGGTAGAAGTCTGCTTGGTAGAGGAAGGAAAGGGGAAAGAGGAGGAGGAGTTAACTCTACCAGTGTGGGAGGAGGATATAAAAGATCAAGGAGGAAGGGGAGTTTTCAATATACCGCGGGCAATAAAGACAGATGAAGGAAGGGAAAGAAAGGGAAAAGAGCAAGAGTTTAGATATGTAAGAATGCACAGGCTATTCGAAGACATTCTCAAAAGTAGGAGGATTATTACCAGATCCGGATCTAAAAGAAAAGAAGGTGACTGTAACTGAAACCCATGAATGGACAGTGGTGGTCTTCCATGGGGGGGGGCAAGGTCATTGGAGGAGGGTAATCAGACCAGATTCGACCTTCAATCATCCCCTGCGAGGGAGACTGGGCCAGGCATCCTTCTTGCCGCATGATATGTGCAGTGAGGAGAGCTCGCTGAGGAAGCCCACAAAGAACGGTTTGCACCAGCCCCTCAATAAACGCTCCTAAGTTGCAGTTTGGATTTTTACCTTCTCGCTATGAACAATTACCGGACCTTAGTTGTTTTGATTCTGTTGAAATCATTGTTGAACCATCAAATGTTAGTACAAATAAATCTGTTAACCATTCAAACGGATCTCCGTGGTTACCGTATTTCCCGCCAAAAATGAGGAACTGCTTCAGTCTCCTGATGAGCTCAGTCACTAACTGTACATACTAATTTGTATCAAAATCTGCACAGACGTTCCATAAAACTGGTTTGATAGGAGCTGATGAGCATCTGCATGAGTTGCTAAGGCAACCAAGAGCTCTGTAGCACAACTTTATCTTGCTGTACCAGAGTGTTACCCCTTATATTTAAAAATAAAACAACTTGAGTATAAGACCTTTGGTCCTGAGATAATGGTTAACGGAACAGTCAGAACAAAACAACAACAATCCTCCAAGACAGTAATATCACAGTAGTTGTACAAAGAACAAAGAGGCGTCAGTTCACATTAACAGGACCGCATGTGAGATAAGACAATTGCCTGGTGGTGGTGCTGAACTTTAATTACATGAATGGGAAGAACTGTGTGTGTATTAGATGGTTCTTCAGTGTTGCGGCAGTGAAGAAGGCCAGTTCCATGCTAGGTATCATTAAAAAGGGAACTGAAAATAAAACAGCCAACATTATAATGTCATTGTACAAAATGCTGGTAAGGCTGTACCTGGAGTGTTGTGTACAGTTCTGGTTGCTACATCTAAAAAAGACATAGTGGAACTGGAAAATGTGCAGAAGAGAGCGGCTAAAATGATGACTGCTGGGGCACCTCCCTTATGAGACAAGGCTAAAGCGTTTGGGGCTCTTTAGGCTAGAGAAAAGGTGCTTGAGGGGGACACACGATTGAGATGTATAAAATGCAGGAGATGGATAAAGTGGGTAGAGGGAAGCTCTTTTCCCTCTCACACAATACCAGAACCAGGGGACATCCACCCCAATTGAATGTTGGAAGAGTGAGAACAGAGGAAAGAAACTATTTCTTTACTCAGCATATTGTTAGTCTGTGGAACTCCTTGCCACAGGATGTGGTGATGCTATCTGGCCTAGAGGCCTTTAAGAGGAGATTGGACAGATTCCTGGAAGAAAAGTCCATCAAAGGTTACAAGCCATGATGGGAATGTGTAATCTCTAGTCTTAGAAGGCAGGTACCTCCAAATGCCAGATATAGGGGAAGGGTATCAGGAGACAGGTATCTAGGTGTCTTGTGTGCTTCTGGGGGCACCTGGTGGGGCCACTGTGAGATACAGGAACCTGGACTAGATGGGCCCTTGACCTGATCCAGCAGGGCTCTTATGTTGCACTGTTTAGTTTAATTTATTTAAAACATTTGTAGACCATATTTCAGGCTTGTCTCCTGCAGTTTTTACCTTTATTGTTTGTTGATTAACACCATGAAATTGCACCTAATTTATGGTAACCCTAAGATGTTTTTCAATGTATATAGAATGTTCAGGGAATTATGTACCACTCCGACCCCCTCCACGGGTTTCCGTGGCTGAACAGAGATTTGAACGGAGGTCTCCCAAGTCATAGACCAATACTCCGTATGGTACATCACACTGACCATTATGCTTGTGCTGGCATAAATCCACAACAGGATTTTGGCCATTATTTTTAACAAATCTATTAGAAATGGAAACATTGATTTCCAATATTTTATGAGTATGCAAAAAGTGAAATGCATTCGTTTTAATTTAGACATAAACTTTGTCTTGTGTATCTGAAGTGAATGGTTGCTAGTCATTTCCAAGGGGGGGAAATAAAGTACTGCATTTCAGATCAAAATTGTGATTGGGGGGGGGAACTGTCCCCATCCTTCACAGAGGTAGTAGAGCTAGTTAGAAGAAGACCATGGATAGAGAGCAGTGAATGTCCATCCTGTTTTGAATTGTGGGTAGGGGGCCAATATGTTTCTGATGCTTCCTTACATACATGATAAGGAAATGCAGAGAACACTTGGTGGGCTTGATGTTTTCTTGGGCTCATAGAATTATCTGGGCATAATAGAATAAAATTGACCTTTCACTTGATCAAGTTGTGCTCTTACATTCTTTGTCTTGGGGATGTGATAAGTAACTCAAAACACTGCTAAACTGTGTGATCAGGCTAATGCCACCAGTACGCAAAGTGAAGTGGGTGCCTTGGGGAGATTTTAAAATTAATTAACGCTCTTTCAGTAAAAATTGATGTCAATCATAAAGTAATGTATTAGCAAAAGGTTCACTGTAAAAATGCTCCCCTTCAAATTACATTCTAAAATTAATGAAAATAATGTTGTTACTCTGCCAATTAACACTGTTGTTTGATTTAAATTAAAGCTTTGAAGTCATTGTCACCTTTTAAAACTCATTAAACTTCCATTAATTCTTTCCAAGCTTTGTGAAGTACCCTCCATTATACAAGTGGTTGGGTTGGGGAGCAAACTTTTGCAGGAAAGGGAGAAAGGAAGTCCCTTCACAAGAGCCATTCAAGCCCCCCAAAATGTTTGGGGAATCAGCTGTGGATCATATTAATTAGAAATGGTGTTTGAGAAATCTAGCTGCAGCTGAAGCTGACCCAGCAACACTCTGTTCCCTCCTTTCACCCTCTTTCTCAGCACATAAAGATTTACTGCTGGGGAACATTGTATAATCAAGATCCTGCAGTGTGCATAACTTCAAAGAAAAGAGCCTGAGGATAGGCTTTGGTTGTGGGGAGGGAAGCCACAGACGGGTAGGATTCAGCCCTCGAATCACATACTCCTTTGTTCTTACAAGTGGACCTCTAGCCCAGGAGCAAAGCGTTTAGAAAGCCAGCTTTGAAATGAATATATCTGGTTTGTCTTATATTTTGGTAGAAGTACCAAACAAATTTCTTACTGATTTAGATTTAAATCCACAACATTTTCTGTCAACTTCTGTCATGAGGCATGTCAGTGGGGAGCACGCTCCCTTAAATTTTGGGTTGAGTAACCCCTCACTTGATTTCCTGTTTGTAGAATATACTTCGGAGAACCTCTTTCAGAGTTTCCCGAAAGCATTTTATACAGCGTGTTTTATATTAGTGGCCATCTGCTCAAAATGTGGCTGGCTATTGCCAATCAATGTTTGGTTTTTCATCTTCACAGTTTGCAGCTAACTGTCCTCTCTCTCTTTCTCTCTCTCTCTCTCTCTCTCTCGCTCTCTCTGCCCCCATCCCCGAGGTCAGACTTTATCCGTCTCCTCTTCTTTCCTCTTCCTCTGGACAGCTCCTTCTTACTGTACGGTTCCCAGAGTTCAGTGGATTTTTCATGAGTTTAGCCTACAGTCCCATCCAAGACATTTTGCATGCTGAGAAAAAACAAGATGGCGCTTCTTCCTCATTTCGTGCACAGGGTATACATGGGCAAACAGTCAACGTTTTTCTTCAGTATTTGCTTTATGACAGTGTCCTCTACCACAGCTGAAGGCAGCAGTCTAGTTTAGGGGGAGCACAACAGACTGTGAGGCACGGCGGTCTTTCCTCCAACATCCCTCCATCTTCTTCCAGCATCTGCTGCCTGAGACAGCCATTTAACCTCTGCCGAATGGTAGGACCATTTAGGTTTAGCTTCCGTCTCAGAACCTCCAAGGAAAGAGTTCACTCTGCAATGGCCAGGAGTCAAACATCCTTCTGACCTCCTGGAAACATTTAATTAGGAAAAAGTCAGGCTGGGACTACGCTGCAGTTTGGTTCGCAGCCTATCTTACAGGTCAGTTTGCTTTTAGTGATCCAACAGGGACCATAGATTGAGCTGCAGCTGTGTCCACACTGGTTCCTCAGTGCAATCCACGTTTCAGCCCCCACCTCCTTCTTTCCTCTGTTCCCACCTCTGCCAGTCCTTTTATGGTTCACTGTCAAGCCACCTGGTTTTTAGTGTTGTATAGTATTAGGGAAAAGGTGACAACTTTCCAAATTTCCTCATAATGCACACTGAAATATATATACACAAA